CCTCCGGCGGGGCCGGCGCCGCGTCTGGGCCTGTCTCTGTCGCTGCTGCCGACTCCCCATCGCTAACAGTAACGCGGGTGTTGCCAGCAGCAGGACGCAACACTGTAGATGAGGAGTGACTCTTGCAGCAGCGACATCAGTTACTGATGTAACATCAGTGATATCAGTTACTTATGCGGTAACTTGTGCTAAAGATAACTTTGTCCACCGAGGTACAACATGGAATCGTAGAATCTACCGGGTTGGAAGACCTCAAAGATGATCGAGTCCAGCCCTACTGTGATTTCTAGACCATGGCACTAAGTGATGATTGAAAGGATTGTGTTTAACTTCGCTAAATTCGAGTTGTTACTAGTATTTTCTTGCTATTGTGACCCTTAATAAGTAAACTCAAAAAGCTCTAGTCTAACTTAGCTAAATTCGAGTTGTTACTAGTATTTTCTTGCTATTGTGATCCTTAATAAGTAAACTCAAGAAGCTCTAGTCTCTAGTTTTAAGTAACAGCATACTGTGTGGTTCATGTGATAATCCTCAGGTGTAACAGTTTTTGAATAGAGCAGTGTACTTATATACTTGGCAATGACCAAAATGATGAGGCTGAACGCATCTCAACAAGCCCCTGGTGACTCCAAACCGGGGGAAGCTGCAGGACAAGGTGCTGCTCAGAGGAACCCTCTGAACTGGGGAATGTGCTGGCAGAAACCTCATGGAGCTCAGCGAAGGCAAAAGCCAAGCCCCATGTGTGGGATGGAATAATGCACCAAGGCAGGCCAAGGCCTGATTGGTTAGCAGCAGCTTTGCAAAACAGGACCAGGGAGTCTGGTGAACAACAGGTCCTACGTGAATCAGCAGCCTGTGCTTGTGGCAGTGAAACCACAGTGTGCAGGGCTATGGGGGTGAGTGTGGATCAGCAGGGCCACTGAAGGGATTGCTTCCCCTCTGTCCAGCACATGTGAGACTGCTGGTGGGTGCTGTGTTTCTCTGGGGCTTTCCAGAGTAGGAAAAACACTGACAAATTGAAGCAAGGCCAGTGGAGAGCCCTTGAGTCAGAGGGATTCAGTCTGTGGTGTACTAGGAAAGCCTTCAATAACTGTGTTTGTGCAGCCTGAAGAAGAGGTGATGTGGAAGGGAATCTGAGGGCAGTTTCACCTGCCTAAAGGATGGCTATAGAGGATGGAGTCAAGTTCTTGAAGTGAAAGAATGAGAGGTAATGGATTAAGTTCCTGCAAAGGAAATTCTGATGAGATAGAAGAAAAAATTCTTCACAGTGAAGTAGTCAAACAGCTGAGCAGGGTTTGTGGAATTTTCATCTTTGGAGGTATTGAAAACATGACTGGACAAGGCCTGGAGCAGTCCAGGCTGGCTTTGAAGCTAGCCATGCTTTGATCTGACTTTGAAGCTCATCTTGCTTTGAACTAGCTGAGAAGTGACTGAGGCCTGTGATTTCAGTAGCCTTCAGTTTATAAAGTGCTTTGAGATATCATGGGATGGCTGACTGCCTAAGTGTGCTTAAATATGCCTTTTATCTGTTATTACAGAAGCCTATTTAGGTACAAGATAAAATTCTGCCTAAGAAATGAAGGAATGAAAGTTAAAAAACAAGCAAACCATGAACCCAATATTCTTCAACTCTGATTCTGTTAAAATGCATTTGCTTGGATTCTTTTTTCAAATTTCAGGAAGAAAAGAAGATTCTCTTCTATCACCCAAATGAAGTAGAAAAGAATGAAAAAATTAGAAATGTGGGACTGTGTGAAGCTATAGTGCAGTTCACAAGGTAGGAAGTCTCATGGCTCATTGTGTTGGCACGAGCACTGTGTTTTAAATCTCAGTCATATGTTTTCTTGTTGGGAGTGTGTATAAATATCTGTGTCTACATATTTCTTTTCTTTCCAGGACCTTTAGTCCAACAAAACCTGCAAAGTCCCTACACACACAGAAGAACAGACAATTTTTCCATGAACCTGAAGAAAACTTCTGGATGGTCATGGTACTTATGCACGTGATATGCATGTTCCTAAATCACCATACTGCAATGTTCTCAATGCATTCTGCATTGTCTAATACCAGCCTGTTCCACTCCCTAGGTTGTACGGAATCCCATCATAGAAAAACACAAAGATGGAAAGCCAGTCTATGAATATCAGGAAGAAGAATTACTGGTAATATGAACTTTCTTTTTTTTTGTTGTTGCTGTTGGGGTTTTTTTTGTTAAATGGGTTATACTGTACTTTAAGAGTACCTCCAGAAATATTTGAGTTAGATTCTTCTTGAATTGCTGTCAAATTGATTTTACGTATATCTATTTCTCCATAAATGGAAAAAGGACAAAGTACTTTTCAATAAAGTTTAAGATAGAGAATTATCCAGAGAACAGTTCCAGATCCTCCAATAAACATCAGTGAAGGACACAGCTGTGAAACTTTTAGCTTGGAATAGGTGAATATTTCTTAGGATCTGTTTGTTGAATAAAGTTCTTGCAAGATTTTACATCTACGTATTCTGTTACTTTTAAGTATCTATGTTGCTGCTTCCTTAAAACTGCTAGTAATATTTACTAATAACCTGGAAAAACAAACAGCTCATAGCAGTCATGGGATTTCTTGTCCAAACTGCAGAGTCATTAGGTCTGTTTAATTGTGTAAAGGAATGGGTGGGATAATATTTTAGGAGCTGATTGGTTATCCTGCCCCTGTTCATTCCAGTGTGCACTACTTCTGTCCCTCCTTGTGTCCTAAGAAAAGGATTGGTGTCACGGGGACTCTATATTGCCAGGAAAAAAAGTCTTTTTTCATCTGGGTTAAGATCCTAGCCCCATAAAAACCTGCTGTGCTGTGCCACCTCCTTCAGCCTTTGGCCTGGATGAAGAGGAAGCTGTCAGAAATGGGTTCATTTTCACTCACCACTGGCCTCAGGGAAGGGCACTGTTTGTAGCTGGAGTCTTGGGCATGAATTCATAAGCTGCTTTTGGTACTAAATGTGAGAGGGAAAGGGACTCCCTTTATTGAAACTATGCTTCATAAGTATGAAGACATTTTTAGATGCTGACTGGAAATGCTATTTAACTTTTCAGAGATTGATTTCTCTGATTTGTGTCTTTGCTGGCTCTGGGAAAACAAATGTTATGTGTAGCTCAGCCAAAATATTTGAAATTCTGCCTCTGCTTCTGCTAATGTTCTGCTCTCTTTCCTGCAGGACAAGGTTTATAGTTCAGTCCTACAGCAGTGCTACAGCATGTACAAGGTACAGTTCATACTAGAAGCTCCTCTTCTGGGCAGGGGATGTGCAAGCTCATCATTGCTTTGATATTCTCATCTCATTACTGTTTGCTCTCTCCCTCTAATGGAGTTGATGGAAGAAAAAAATAAAGCTTCTGCAGTTGTCTGTGCTGGTTCATTAGCTCATTGTAAAATAAAAGCCTCCTAATTTCTGTGAAGTCAAAGTTTCATGGGCAGTTACATGACTAAGTGTTTGGGTTTGATGGTGTTAGGTATTATCTGTTCAAGAAACAATCCTGGACAAAGGCCATCAGTGTGGCTTCTACAGAACCAGAGCATAAGATACTTAAATGGCACAGATAAATAACTTCTCTGCCATTAAAGAATTGAGTTTCCTTTTCTAATTCTGCCTCTGCTGCCATGTGCAAATGGACTGTGCAAATCTGAGAGATGCTTTTTCAAAAAAGAAGGGAGACATTGGCGCACTATGGAGTACAAATACTGAGGAACAGGAGCTGTATTGTAATCTAGTTATATTCACAGCCAAGCTACAAAAAACTGTTGTAAATGAATACCCAACTGACTGATTTCTTTTCTTTTACCTGTTAGCTTTTCAATGGCACATTCCTGAAAGCCATGGAAGATGGAGGTGTGAAAGTTCTAAAGGAGAGACTAGAAAAATTCTTCCATCGGGTAAGATCTTGTTTTTCAGGCACACACAGTGTGTGATTCTGCACTGGAAATAAAATGCAGAAATCTCTAAGTGGCAGCAGTGTGACTGTAAAACAGGCAGTGGAAAAGGTGTAGTGGCAACACAAGAGATCTGGTTACTCATTTTTTCAAATATTTCCTGCTAACACAGTAGGTTCTTTAAGTGGAATTGAACCAGCACAGTTATGTCTGATGGAACTGCTTACCTGTTGGATATTTTTTTCTGATGGAATCCTGTTCGTTCTTTGGAAACTCTGTTTTAATGTTTGAATTGGTTACTGTGATAACAGTTTGTGCAGACCTATGTGAATGACTGTTGCAGAATCAGTCAGGTTGGAAGGAATCTGGAGAGATCATCCAGTTCAGCCACTCAAAGCAGGGTAACACTGAATTCAGACTAGTCTGCCCAGGGCTTTGGCTGCTTGAGTCTGGAAAACATCCAGGGATGGAGATTCCACAGCCTGTATGCACAGGCTTAAAGTCCTGTAGTACTGTGAAGTAGTGAATAGTTGAAATTTTTAACTTCTCCCTCCTACTCCATCTCCCATGTGGAATTAGTAGTTGTGAGGTTTCAGGAAATATTGCCTTTGTTAAAACTAGCTTCAGAGTGTAATTTCAAAGCTGATGTTTTAGTGAAAGGATGAAAAGCAAATCCTGTTTCTGAGCAAGAAATCAAATGTTATTCATGTATTTTTCACATAAAGTATTAGACTGAGTCGATTCTGGCCAAATTTTGAGTTCCTACATGAAGAATTTCATCAATCTTTAGAAGATGGCAGCCAAGTGTGCCTGCCCCCAGGGCTCTTGTTTGCATGGAAGGAAGCAGAACTGTCAGCAGTTAGTGCTCTTGTGGTAGAGATGTGAATGTTGATATCTGATAATGATGGAGTGTAGACACTCTATAATGGTGTTTAAAATTTTGTTGTCTTAACAGGTCTTTAAAATAACACAATGTTGTGACAGTGCAAACAAAAGTACAGGCTTGGCTTGTGGTTTTGGAGTGGGTTTTGCTTGTTTCTTTGTAAGACTGTCATAGACTCTGGAATAAGCACCACTGGCACGAGGAGTACTTGTCTGATTAGCTGGTGTGTACTTGTGCCCAGCCTAAATTAGAAACAGAGCGTGGCAAAAAAAGAAAGTAGTAGGTTTTTATCTTTAAAACATTGTTTTTCTTTGAAGTTCCTACTGAAGATAAAACTGTAATGTGCTATAGATTTGTACAACAGAAAGAAATCCAAGGAAAAGTTTTTCTTTTTCACTGGGGAATTAGAAATGCTTAAAAAGTTTAGTCATGCAAATTGTGTATTAGAACCCTATTGAACAAGTTAGCAACATGTTGCTGGCAGGCTTGAACTGAAAGGCTGAAAGGAAATGAGACTTAGATTATAAACTGTGACAGAAATCGTGCTATAGATTTGTACAACAGAAAGAAATCCAAGGAAAAGTTTTTCTTTTTCACTGGGGAATTAGAAATGCTTAAAAAGTTTAGTCATGCAAATTGTGTATTAGAACCCTATTGAACAAGTTAGCAACATGTTGCTGGCAGGCTTGAACTGAAAGGCTGAAAGGAAATGAGACTTAGATTATAAACTGTGACAGAAATCTGTCACATGTCTGTAAGTTTTCCTGCTGGGTTTTTGGTAATGTGAAATGACTGTAGAGGGAGCCATTGGATAATGCATCTTTCACAGAGCCTTTGATAGTGCATCTGAAATCTCTAGGTTATGGTTATAGTCTAGCAAGAAAAAGAGTAATGGCAATTATCTTTTCCTTTGCACATTGAAAGTTAGTGGATTTATCTGCTCATATTTCTAGCTACCTGTGAAATTAAATATTAGTAAGATAGGCTTTGCTTTCTTAGAGTCTCTAAAGATCTTGAGTTTGCCTTAAAAGTTGTTGTCATCATGATTAAATAGAAGCAAAGTGACACCTGGAATCACATTCACACGCTCACATGTGGAATCACAGGATGGTTTGGGTTGGAAGGTACCCTTAAAGCTCATCAAGTCCAACCCCCTGCATTGAGCAGGGACATCTTCAACCAGACCAGGTTGCTCAAGGCCCTGTCCAACCTGGCTGTGAATATTTCTAGGGATGGGGTAGCCACAGCTTTTCTGGGCAACCTGTGCCAGTGCCTCACCACCCTCGTTGTGAAAAAATTCCTTATATCTAATCTGACTCAACTCTCCTTCAGTTTGGAACCATCACCCCTTGTCCTATTGCTCTAAGCCCATGTGAAAGTCTGTTCCCACATGAAGGAGTATGTCAGCCAAGCAGAACTGGAAGGATTCTTTTTTTTTCTAGATTATTGGGAATTAGACATTTAAATGTCATTTAAATCTACGCATTGGCAGTTTTCTGAATTCTAAAAACTGTCATTGTTCTCTCAGTACCTGCAGACACTGCACTTACAGTCCTGCGATCTGCTCGATGTGTTTTGTGGAATCAGCTTCTTTCCACTGGATAAAATGACTTACTTGAAAATTCAGTCATTTATTAATAGGATGGAAGAAAGCCTGAGCATAGTCAAGTACACTGCATTTCTCTACAATGACCAGCTTATCTGGTAGGTACTTCAGTAAATCTTTTGTGTGTCTTCAATTTCTCATCCTACAAATAAATGCCATAATAGAAAAGCTTTTGAAGCAGTGAAAGAGTTGGATGAAAATGAGAAAACATGAGTCATGCTACCAGTCAGTAAGAAAGGCATTGGTTTGAGCTTTAAAATCTCTACCCTGTACCAAGTGATTGCTTCCAAGCTGGCCTGGGGAGCAGCTGGAGAAGTGCCTTTGACATCTCCATCTCAAGAGCCTCTGTGCATTACACAAGTTCCCTAGGAACATTTAGTAGATAAGGTTAATTACATTAAGGATTGTTCATTATGTTATCCTGAACTAGATTAGCAAACATGATCTTTGCTTGTTCAAATAGTTTCTATTTCGCTTCTGGTTTAGGGCTACGTTAGATGTGTTTTGTATTTAGCAAATAAACTAAGATTTTATTAGAAATTAATGTTCTGGGACTAACTGTACTGAGACACTGAAGAGTTACTACCCTGGTTTGGTATGTGCTGTGCCTGAGGTGTGGTTAGAGGAAAACTCATGATCTGCACTGCAGCACAAACATCACTTGTGTTCCTTTTCCCCCTAATGTTCCAGGAGTGGACTAGAGCAAGATGACATGAGAATTTTGTACAAATATCTCACCACATCTCTGTTTCCGAGACACATGGAGCCTGAGGTATGGCAGTTGGCTTGGTTTTTTTTAGGAGGAAGGTAGTGGGGTTTGGTTTTTGTGTTTGGTTTTTTTTTTTCCTGTTTTTCTGGTACTACTAAGGGCTGAAATACCAAAGAGAAATACCTCTCTTCTCTCTGCCTCTAAGCTGGTTTCTCTTGTGTGTTTGTTTCTGCTTCAGTTAGCAGGAAGAGATTCTCCAATACGTGCTGAAATGCCAGGAAACCTACAACACTATGGAAGGTAGGCCCTGTTTCACTGTCACCATCTACTGCTTCTTCCCTCAAGGGCAAACATTTGGGAGGAGTTATGTGTATTTTGAGGACATATTCTACACAAGTTCATTCCAGAGGGTTGCACAGTAGTTGGTGCAATGTAAAACTTGACCTCTGGAAAAAGAGAAAATGCTTCATTAACATTATTGCCTATTTATTTTAATTCCTATTGTTCTTGATGCACTGCCTGACAAATTTGGGAATGGCTTCAGTCATTTCTCTTCAGTGAGGCACTGCAGACAAAGGTGTAGATTTAATCTAGGATGTAGCTATTTGTTTTTCCTTTGTACTCAGCATGTCAGAGTGGGGAATTCTGTACTTAAGCAAAATTAATTTGAGTAATTGTGAGTTTGGATGTCCTTAATCATGAGAATTCTACTTGCTTGATTTACTGTATTCCTTTGGGATCAAGACACTGGCACACAGTCCCTGTTCTATGCCTCTCTCCCAAGTTTAGGTGCTTCTAGCACACCACAGTTCCACATCAGGCTAGTTTAGATGTGCTGTTGAACAGGAAAGGGGAAGAGCTTCAGGGACTTCCCCAGCAGCAACCACAAAGGGGTTGTAAAGGTAGTCACCGCTTGAATGTGGAAAGAGTTTTGTTGCTGCTCCTTTGATGATCTGCATTGCTTCCCCTTAGCATTTTATTCTGTCTTTCTGATGCTGTTGCCATAACTCTTTGGAGCATATATGCAAATAATACTTCAACAATGTATCAGATAATCCTAGAATTTAAGGGTTGGAATGGACCTTTCAGATCATCTAGTCCCAACCCCCTGCCCTGGGTAGAGACACCTCCTCACTAGATCAGGTTGCTCAAGGCTTCATCCAGCCTGGCCTTGAACACTGCCAGGGTTGGGGCAGTCACCACATCCCTGGGCAACCTGTGCCAGTGTCTCACCACCCTTATAGTAAAAATCTTTTTTCTAATATCTAACCTAAACTTCCTCTCCTTCAATTTGAACCCATTACCCCTTGCCCTATCATTGCAGTTCCTAACACAGAGTCCCTCTCACTCCCTTGTAGGCCCTTCAGATATTGAAGAGTTAGAGCGCTAAGATAACATATAAAGGGCTCCACACCTGTGTGGATAGCTGAAAACTCACTGTATTCAGATCTATTCATGCAAGTAATGCTGGTTTGGAGAACATCTGTTAAACTGGAGAAACTGAAATACAAGAATTAATTGCATCTGACCTGTTGAATTATTTTCTAGGTTTCTTACTGGACCTTTAAATCTTAATGACCCAGAAACAAAATGCCGTTTCCCCAAAATATTTGTTAACACTGATGACACTTACGAAGAGCTTCATTTAATTGTTTATAAGGTACTACAGTTTTCTCTACAATTACTCCACAGAATTAGGGATCTCTAGGCAATGAAGATGAGCATGATGTGAAGTACTTAGGAATTGTATAGGAAGGTGCATGGATGTGAGCAGGTTAAAGCAAAGAGATGGAAAACTCTTTGGTGTTTCTAGCAACAAGATTTAGAGCCTGAATTATCTTTCCTCCCCTCTTATACCCTCTGCAAAACAAGATCCCAGCCTGCATTACTTTAAGTGATTTCAGGCCTGGCTTTATGTAGCACTAATCAGTAAAACAAGAAATTTTGATTCTTTTACATTAAATGCAAGTTCTTGCAGACAATGTATTTTTAGCAACTTTTACCTTTCGCCTACAGGATTGCAAAGAGATTGTCCTGTTGAAATGTGACCCTTAAAGTAGATTTTGTCAAATTTCTTTTTTAATTTATCTGGTCCATCTGTAACCTCACTGAAGTATTGTTGCTTACATGAGGTAGTTGAGGTAATCTGTTGTAAATGTGTTTTTGCTTTAACTTTTTCTGTCCCAGGCCATGAGTGCAGCTGTCTGCTTTATGATTGATGGTAAGTACCTGTTAGCATTGCTTCTTTGGCAAGACATAGTACAAAATGCTATTTATTACATGCAACTTGCTTTACTCTTGAAAATACTCAAAATAATTTATTTGAGTTTCTTTTTCATGAGCACTTTTATCACTGAATCATAAAATCAGCCTGGTTGGAAA